TTTTTTTTTTAGAGTGCGTACGGTGCCATTTGGTACGGTTAGGACTATGATTCAACTAGTCAAAATTCTATTATCAAGAGGGGACCATTTGTGGGGTATTTTTAGAAATCGAAAGGGGTAATGACCCCCTGACACTTCCCTAAATCCGCCACTGCATGCATGTTGACAGGATTATTTAGATGAAGTTGACATCGGTCTTTAAGATACATGTACTGGTATAGAAACGGCGTTCAGTCTTCACTTTTTTTTTGCATTAAGTTTATTGTGTTTTATTGGCGTCTTTTGCTTTTAAGTTGTGGTTTATTATCTCGCACAACCCAGGCAGCTGGAATTTATAAATACTTATCGCAGACAAATAAACAACACAAACAAGATGCGCAAACAATCCGTCCATTGTACTACATTTTTCGGTTGCAAGCAGCCTTAAACACTAACCGATGTATGCAAGCCATCAATATAATAAAAAAACAATGTTAACTTTTTCGACCTGCACCACAAGATACATAGGTTACAGTTGCGGATTAAACGTGGCAGGATTTTAATAAAAGGCTTTTATATAATGGAACAGCGACAAGACTAATAAGTAGAACACGAAGTATTTATATAAAGTTTCTTATATTAAGTATTTATATTAAGTTTAAATCTTAAGTAATTCAACGAAGATCCACTACATTTTAGCATGCAAAAATATTAAATAGTTGTCGTTACTTACCTGAAGCGCTCACAGAGAGAGAGAGAGAGAGAGAGAGACAGAGAAAACAAATAGATAAATAAATCAATAAAGCAGTTTAAAAGCCTTTCGTTGTATCTCATTGATCATGGCCTTTTTTAAGACAGCGGCAGTCCCCATAAAGGCGATGTCTAAGGGTGGCCAGATTTATAATCTACAGCTTGTAGTTTCATTTGTTTGTACAGAGGAGTTTGAAACAACTATCCGCTATGTGAAGTTTGCGAGGTGTAAACAAAGATAAAGCGAAGTTGACCCGCTCTTGTCTAAACTGTCTATATCATCTGAATCACAGTGTGCGACCAAGTGCCCTTACCTCCTTTATACAAGCCACGAATCGCCACAACAGAGACATCTTCTAAATTTTCGGTAGCACTGGATCTCTCAAGGTTTTGACGGGGCGTGCACCGATATCAAAAATTGTACACCTATAGCAGCTCTACCTTTGGTCACGTGAGGGAAATACCGACGCTTTAAATAACCCGCAGATAAATTAACCCACGCAGAAAATTTCCCTCTTCTCATAGTTGACATTTTGTAGCAGGTCTAAAGTATCAAATAGCTTTTAATTCGTAAAGTATTTTAGGTGGGTAATCAATGATTGCCTAACGGTTAGTGGAAATATTTATAATACGAATTACGAGCCTGGGAGGACTTTCTTTGTAATTTGAGAATATTTGCACTCAAAAATGAATAAATAATTATAAACAAAAAAAAAAAAAAAAAAAAAAAAAAAAAAAAAAATTAAAAAACGCAATATGATTATGAAACCTCACGGGAGGATCAACCACTTTCAACTATAGTATTCTGAATTTCAGAGCACCTTGGGCACTTCCCGCTTTCTACGGACTACATATACTATCAATTTAGAATGAAGCCATTTAATTAATTAAATCTCTAACCCAAGGATGGTTACTCTAACACAGAAGCAAAGACACTATTCATTTATGCTTTTTGTGAAAGATTGCCTTGCCTCTATTTATAGGAAGTGACTTGTTTGCATCAGGAAAAAAGTATTAAATGGGTAAACTTTGAACAATCACTTCCTTGTTTTGAATGTGAGCAACCATTTCTAAGGGAAATTTTCAACTGTTGAAAAAGATGCAGAATTAATTAGTGCAGACTTGGATTTCACGTTTTTTGATATTTATTCTTCCAAATCATTTACCTACCGCAGAATTTATTGTTATAGCAAGATCAGGTGTGATTTCTTTGCAAATCAATGGAATGAACACCCCTTTTGACAGGGGCTAGCTTGACTTGGCAGTAAGGGTTGATCGTTATTTAATCTCTAATAAGGCCATAATTTTGTATCATATTGTATTGTGCAATAAGTTAAATAGGGCAAGTGATTGACATGAAGTGCAGTATGAGAACTACATAATGGGCAGTAAGGAAGTTACATGAAAAATTCAAGTCATTACATTGAATGGCATTTACAGTATATATGAAGACAGAAACAATAAGGAGATTGATAAAAAAAAAATCGAGGATGCAGGCATTATGTCCAGATTTGAGCAATATGCCATGGAGACAACTAGATCAAATAACATGCCAATTTAATGCTCAACAAATGAACATTTGAATCCTTAATTTCAACATTAAAGTGAATGTCATAATATCTGCATTAGCAATGTATACTAATTATCTACAAGTATGTACATGTATGTGTAGTACAAACATTGATATGCATAACAAGTTTCTCACTTAAGCCTTAGTGTCAAAAATATGTGAGTTTCCAAAGCAATTAAGTTTCCAAAATAAGTTTGATCCTATTATCTTTAAATTTCTTTTAAAACTAAATGTACAAGAAAGCCTTCTTCATGCAACACTTTAACTTGTGTAGAATAACAGGCAAGTACTAGTGCATGGCTAATCCCAGCATCTGTCTTAACACTGTAAGTACAATTAAGACTTTTGCTCAACATATTAAGGCAGTCAAACACCGTTTTAGACTAACTTCCACCTAAGGCAGGAATTCACACACTCCGTGCCATAAGGTCCTGTATGTAGGGATTGCCTTTAGCTGCTAATTCAGCTTTCAACTTGTTAAGTTCGCAACTGATTTGTTCCTGGGTCAAGTCTGCCACAGGTAATGCTTTCACTTTGGTGAGGAATTCTTTTATCAGTTCTTCTCCTTCCTAAAATGGGAAAAATCATGCATGGATATCGTGACAAAATGTTCAGCATTTAAAAGGTAGGAATGGGAAGTAAACAGATTTGTGACAGATTATTCTAATACTACTTGAATACTCCAAATTTGAAAACCCTTACTGCATAAATTGAAAAAACATAAAGAAAGGAAAAGCATTTTTGGAATTACGGAGGCCAACAAGGTGAGATGGCAGTGAATTTAGTTCAAGTCGCATGAAATGTGAAATTCAAAAGTGATCTAGACAAAACTTCACTTTGTAAACATTATTTTTTAATGAAAGTAAAAGGGGAAGTTGACATTGGGCAAATGCACTAAATGGAAAGCATGGAAAGCAAAAGTAAAACTTGTGAAAATGAAACATTTTATGCCAATAATTAACCATGTAACATCTATTTAAGTACACAATTTTCTCTGCCAAAAGAAAGTACATTTATTACAGATATATACTTCTCAAGAAGTGCAGATTGTATCAAATCTTGCTCTTTAAGAAGCCATTAATAAACCTGACCTGCTTAGCTATTTTTCTCTTCTTTACAGCTGGTTCCCCTTCCCCTTCCAGGTCTGTTCCTTTTAAATCAATGCTCTGGTAGTCTTCAAGTTCCTGGGCCTTCTGCCTGGCAAACTGCATGTGGAATGTGACAAATCATTAGTTCCAGATTTAGTCTAAATATTTGATGAATAAAAATAGTTTCGTACATGTTACCTCTGGTGCGTGCACATATGCAAGTACATGTATCATTACTGAACTTTTTCCTATTAACCAATAGCTTTAAATACAGGCAAATAAAATTAAACCTTATAAATTATTTCATCCAGCTGCCAATTTTGACAACTGTTGCCATGACTACTTAAAATGGATGAGGTTATTTTTGCATTGGATTATTCAGACAAATTTAGAAAAACAAGATTGTAGAATATAATATATCAACCTCAAGGACATGTTTTGGAAAATGTGCCAACTCTGCGACATGGATCCCAAAGCTCTGGTCACAAACACCTAAAATAAAAAAAGAAAAAATTAAAATCGGTTAAACTATCATTTTCAGGCCTTTAGCCAGGGGGTTGGGGGGGGGGGTTGTCATAAGAGCCCCCTTTTTGCCAGAAAAAGGTCAATTTTGGGTAAAATTTGATCTAGGTACACAAAGGTTTCATGGTAAAAGGTCCACTTTTTCAAAAAAAAGAACCCCCCTTTTGAAATTCCTGGCTTGATTTTTATTTTCTTTTAGCTATTAACATCTTCATCACACATGCGGTAAATTAGTAACCTACACATCCAACATGTAAATGGCAGAAGATATACACAATCTTAACTTCACACACTGCTTAACATCATTACTCTGCACCAGAATAAAATGTTCATGAAGACATGATACTTATATTCCATACAAATAATAAATGTTGCTGTTGTAATTTCAGGAATTAAACATGCTTTTTAACTTTATTTTGAAGAAAAAAATCTTGGACTTAAATCATTCTCTAAGGTAGTCAAACAATATTATAACATCAGTATAACTCATAGGGAAGATTCAGTCCACAATAATGACCTGATGCTGTCATTACACACCTGGCTTCACCCTGTACAGCAGTGTTAGTGTATCATTGGTAGTGAGAGCTGTAACATGGAGATTGTTCACTGTGGGAACAACATCTGACAACGCCGTCAACTCATGGAAGTGGGTGGCAAACAGACAATAGGCTCCTATCTTGGTGGCTATGTACCTGACAAAATAGTAGTTGGTTATGCTTTCTTTAAATAGTACTTTTTTCAACATGAGTGACAAGTATGTTTTCTATTTTATTGTTATTTGATAATTAATTTCTACGTATGCAACCTGTGGTGCAGCACTGTGTTCACCAGTACTCACTCTGATATTGGCCACACCAGTCAGCACTCACTCTGATATTGCCTACACCAGTCAGTGCTCACTCTGATATTGCCCATGCCAGTCAGTACTCACTCTAATATTGCCCAAGCCAGTCAGTGCTCACTCTGATATTGCCCACACCAGTCAGTACTCACTCTGATATTGCCCAAGCCAATCCAAACCCATCATATGTTGAGGTTCCTCTGCCTAGCTCATCAATTATCACCAAGGAGGTGTCTGTGGCTGTCTGTAAAGATACAGCATTACCTGTTTATATATGCTGACCAAAAAGGATGAGAATGGTCTCAAATGAGTTTACCCAAACAGTATGTGTGCACTGCATTAAAATAAAGTGCACAATACTACATCACAGTGTCCAGACACAAATATGTCAGTTAAGTACAAATATGTTGTCCATGTGCATATTGTAAACTGTTTATAGTGGTGCTGCTTCAAAACTTTACTTCAATAAAGTACAACCTTAAACATGCCATCAGTCCAATTCCACAATCAGCACACAATGTTTACCCTTAAAATGGAAGCAGTCTCCAACATCTCAGCCATGAAAGTGGACACTCCTTTGAGCTGGCTGTCCCCTGCCCCTACCCTGGCCAGTATACAGTCCATCAGGGAGATCTCCGCTTCCGTGCAGGGCACAAAGCAACCTATCTGTGCCATCAGGACTATAACACCAACCTGAAGTAGAATAATGGAGGACTACCATTTTCGTGAAGCAAACTGTAATTTTAATTGAATGTTATAAAATGGCAACATTGCAAGTTCTCCTTTCAAGACATTTTAATTAAAGCATCTTTTCTTTTCATTGAATCTCCTGAGTCTTAGGTTTACAGTTTTCTTTCAAGATACAGGGATATTTCAAGTGTACACATAACACCTCTTACCGATCTTATGTAAGTGGACTTGCCACCCATGTTGGGTCCCGTGATAATATGGAACATCTTTTTATCTGGAATCAGTATTATGACAAAAACATATATATATATATATTAGACCCCATTCCTATGGACCCCATCAGTCTTTGTGGATTGACCCAACTTTGTGGGGACTCTCGTTAAGTGCAATCAGCTAAACTGAATCACAAGCCTTCTACTCCTAGTTCCCAATGTACTTGTATAATCACCAGCTTTTCTGTATTTTATTTAAACACCAGAAGAGGGTTGTTCATTCAGTCAAGCTAACTGCAGTCAGCGAGAGTCCCCACGCACAGAGTAGAACCACACAGACCAATGGTGTTTATGGAAATGGGACCTTATACTATTAGAAATCATTCTGCAGAACACTGAGAATGACATTTTAATATGATATAAAATATTTCTTTTAAATAGATACACTTGAATCAAATGAGTTACCAAATGTGTTAAAGCCTGTTTTGATATAAGATGACATGAATAACTAAAATGTATAACTGTGCAAAATAGCACACAGTCATTTCTGAGTACACTTGGTAGCCCTTATTTGAGGAGATACAAAGCATTATTTTTGCAAAAACAATCAATTACTTCAACACAAATCAGAATTAACTATTTTTTACCAAAAATATTTCAATTATAATTACAATATACATTCAAAATGCATCACATCACATCTTTACCTTTCTCAAAAATGGCATCATTTGGAATGAAAGCCACATCATCCTGCATTTCCAAGCAAGGATGTCTGGCCTCTGTAAGACGCAATATGCCAGCACCTGCAGGGTTATAAACATGCTATTAATGGCAGTTAACACAATGGGTGAAAAAATCAAAACTCATACTGCATGTGCAATTTTCTTACGTTTTTTTCTAGGTGGGCAGCTATTTAATTTTCAAGAAATAAACTGAAAGCATGCACATATTTCATGTCAACAATACTCATAAAAAGTTTAAAAATCAGAATTTCATGATACAAATATCCATGTAGTATTCATACTGTATAGCATACCTTTATCCAGAAGGCGAGGCCTGATGTAGGGAATAGGAGCGTTGGCAGAAACGTGGGCAAAACTGACCAAGGCATCCAAGTGGGCTATAACGTCATTTAGCAGGATCATAGGTTCCACATAACCAGCTGGAAAAATGAAACGGGCAAAGGTCAACCCTGTCGCTTTCACATAAAAGCATAAGTACATACATGTATTGCAAAATGATATTGTGAAAATAAGTTATTTCAAACATCTATAGGCAAAAAAAGTTTTTACAAAGATTTTTTTTTCATTTGTGAAGCATGAGATGTGATGCATTTTCTATAATGTAGCATTTGGCTTGATATTTATGTCATATGTATAAAGATAAGAGAAGTCTGTTGTTTACCTGCAATAGCAATCACCTCTGCTACCACAGACTTCTGCTGTTCATTGTAATCATCTTTCAGAGCGATGAATTCCTCATTCAGCTGACGTAGGGGGGTGTTGTGAAAGCGAACACCGCTTTTGTTTGTATCAATTGTTCTGTAATTCTTGTTGTTCCTCAACACCTTTTCCTCCTAAAACGTGATGAGAGAGATGTACTCTATCACCATTACGATGCATGAGGCAAAAAAGGGCACAAACAAAGACATTTTTGTAGAAACACAAAGGCATTTTGATATAAGAAAAGATTTTAACAGTACAAAAAAAAACAGATTAGGCTACTATATATATATTATACCCCACCATTTAACAGGTTCCATCTTACCCACCTTCCGAGTCAATCTGAAGAAATAGCCAAGCTGTGAATTAGACTCCAGCTTTAGGACTTTGTTGGGCTCCAGATTCAGATCCTTGGCAGCCTTCAATTAATTTAAAAGCAAAGTAAAAACTTCAAAAGTGCTGATAGATCAATGTCTGACTTAACATAACCATATATTTGACACAATAAATATCTATGAACTATTAGCCAAAACCATCTTATATCTCTTCTAAACAAGGTAAAAATCTTCTTGGCGAGATAGGAGTCTTTTTAAGAGCATGATGAACTCTTCTCTTCTACAAATCTATTTAGGCTTAGAGAAACTTCCTTTAATATACAATGAATTTAATATTCAAAGCACTTTATAACAAAACGGGACACCAAAGAACAGAATGAAAGTAAGACATTTGTTCAAAGCAGTACTATGTTTTAATTATTTCATGATGAGGATACTTTAACTTATCCAAGTTCATCAAGTTCTTGAGCTCTCTAAGTTCTTGAACCTCACCCACCTTGTTCAGTTGTGCCTTGATTTGTTTTTCTACATTATCTAGTTTTTCGCGCAGCTCTAAAATGTAATAAGAATTATATGAGTTTTTCTTTAAACTGCCAACTGCAATAACACACCATAATGGTGCCAGTACAGAAAAAGCAACTGATGCAAGCCTAATAACAGTATTCCATTGCTTTGATTTTCAAAAACTGACATGTATCTAAACATTATAAGCACATTGCACGTACCCCAAAGCTGCACAGCCCACTGAAATTTAAAAAGCTGCTAAGTGTTAAAATCAAAAGGATCATTTAGGAATGTAGATCAGTAAAATGACTGGTGTACAATGTACCTGCTAGGCCTTCATCAAAGTCAGGTTTGATGAGGAACTCGTGGTTCTCTACCTGGTCTAAGTCAATTGTAGTCTCCACCATTTCTTGGAATTTGGAGAAATCCATCAGCAATTCCTGGAGTGCAGATAAAAGAATAATTTGAGAAAAGCCATCTTGTGGTTGCAATCATCAACTTGCATTACCAGTTTGATATCAGCCGTAATGAAAAGTATCAAATAGAAAAATACATCACAAGTATGCACGTTATGTTACACAACAAAATGCTCTACTGGAAAGAATGCTACATTTGCTCTATCAATTAGATATTTTTGAATGGTAAATATATACCTTCATAGGGTTTGTAAACAGCTCCATGAGCAGTGGTGTATGCTTGCCTTGGTGTTTTTCCAGGGCCTCCAGTAAGTAAGGCATCTTCTCCAAGGCCTGGTATACTCTGTAGCAATCCTGAGCAATACAATAAACGGTGATACATTTTAAAAATTTCCAAACTTGAATGCTTTATGTCTATTGTCCTAAAACATATCTTTAAATTAACTACCACACACAGATAATTGAATGTTTTTTTCTCTCGTTTTTGCATGGACATTACTTGTGTAAATATTGATGTTATCCATTTAAGAACCAGATAAAATTGATACCATCTAAACAGTACCTGTGCTGCTCACGGGAGTTAAGTTCAATAATATCATACTTTGTGTTACAGTGCACTCACCTGTAAGTTGGCTCTCTTCTTCTGAAATTTCTTGGCCAATCTCTGAAAGTCTGGAACCTTCCTCAGTTGATCCTCCTGCAACGTCTGCCTCAGCTCTGTGTCCTCCACAAAAGACTCAACAACATTCAGTCTCTCCTCTGAAGTAAAAAATATGAAAAAAACTCAAATCAAAATCATAGATGCAGAAAGAAAAAACACTTAATAACACAGCTGCCTGAAGTTTTTTAATGAAATATTAATGGCTAACTTACATGAATACAACCAGGGGCAGGGGTGAGGGGGGGGGGGTAATGAACCATGCATACCTATCCTGTTTTTATCAATAAGAGGTTGTTTGACCCACTGAGCCAGCAGTCTCTGTCCCTGTGGGGTGCGACACCTGTTCAACAGTCCCAACACACTCTGGTTTTTGTTGCTGCCTGGAAATAAATGTTGAAATTTAGCCTATATTCATATGCTGAAAATTAGTCTATCGATTTTAGTTCAATAGCAGACATGTAACAGATATTTAACGTCCCAGTCACGGTTTTATGTTTGAACAAGTGGTTTGTAGATTCTAATTTTGGATAGGTTCAGATATATTGGGTGTTTAAGAGAGATTCTTTACTGTAATCTAAATGCCACTTCTCCCTACCTTCATTTGGGCTAGGCATCAGATTGAGTGCATTCACAGCTGCAGCATCCAGCTTCATGTACTGGCTCAAGTCAAAACTTTGCAGGGAAAACTGATGAAAGTTGGTCTCATCACCCAGGAGCTAGTAGAATAAAAATAATGGCAGGATAAAAAATACATCTTTTATTGGGCTATCTAATGTGCTACAGCGGTAAATCAACAGCAAAATGTTAAAGACAAACATTCAATTCCTTATACACAAGCAATTAAACTTAAGTTAAATTCATTGTCAAAATAGAAATTTGGCACAACTAAGTGTCATCATTAAATTAAGAAAAAAAGAGAATGTGACAGCATAAAATATACCTCACCTCCAAGTATTTGATTAGTGCAGATACGGCAGCCATAGCATGTGTTTTGTCCATCTCAGCTGAAAGTATAAAAAATTCAAATTCACTGTTACATTTACCTGAACAACAATTTAACATTTACGTACTGTTTAACCTATCTAAAGCATTTTAAGTTTAAATAAAAAGACTTATTATTCAGAGTAAAATTCTTCAATGCATACAGCAAATAAGTCAGTATACTCACCAAGTGCTGCACTGTTAGCTTGTTCTCCTTTCTTAAACTTAAGTAGACGGTTGAGATCTTGCACATTATCTTTAGTAGAGAAATCAGCTACAAACATGAAAACCAAAACCATAAATCAATTTGAATTGAAAGCGGGTTGCAAAAGATGTTGCTCAGATTCTGGGGAGTACATGTATATTCCCAGCTTTTAACTAACAATAATCTGATAAAAGTCATAAGTGATCATTTTTCAACCTTCAATCAACCTTGAAATTTTTGAAGGAAGAATGAAAATTTACAGACAGCTGAACCTTTTTCCTGTAAAGCAAGAGATTTAGAGTTTTTTAATACATTAATTCAAGCTTTTCAAATGTGAAGATAAAAGATAGTAAAAAGAACCATGTCACAGGAACTGCTAGAATATACATACACGTATATGAACTCATGTACCAAGAGTTTAATCTTGTTGTGCAAAATTGTGCAATGACATTTTTTTTATACATTTTAATAATTTATACAGCATAACAGAACAGCAAATGCATTTTAAATTCAAATAGCTACAATCACACAACATCACAGTCAATATATCATACTCACAGCACACACAATCTAAACTTCTATTTCAGTGCTGCCCCCTACCTTTCTTTCTCTCAGTGATTAGCACCCCACTCCTCTCAATGACTTGTTTTAATCTGGAGACCTCAGGGGAACCTTCACCACTGGCCAGGACACATTCCTTGGGTCCCAACTGGACTATCAATGCCTGTCAAAAGGAAGGGGGTTACCAATTTTGTTGCTACAATTTTCATTCTATTAGATTATTTAACCCCTCAATGGAATTTGTTAAACTGATGGTAAAAGAATTTTCAATAACACATTTAGGTTGTATTAATTAAGATAAAGCTGCATTATCTGCCACTAAATGTATGCAGGCCAATATTTACAGCTAGTTTGAAAAAAATTAGTCTAACAAAGGTTACAAATAATAATATCTTATCAACAAATCCTTATTCTACATTCTGCCTCTGAATTTGAAACACCCCCAGTACCTCTAAATTTGAAAACTGGTCATTCTCTGGGAACTGACAGACACCAAACTTTCTGAGCGTAGCATCTCCATAGCCAACACCAACAACCTGTTTGTAATATAAGGTACATTATGTTTAGTTCACTTGATGTCCTACATGTATAGTACTGTACCTTAAGAATATCTCACATATTGAAATTCAGGGTATTAATTACATTCAGAATTCAAACAATCACTCAAAAATGGAAATGAAGATCAATGATGTTGCACAAGGATAGGTACATGCATATGTTGTGAGCTGTATAACCCTTAACTTTGATTATTTCCATTTGTGACTTGGAGAACTGAATTATTGACTTTGATCTTTGAATTGATGACTTGGTACAACCATTTAATATTCTGATTGTACTGTATCAATAATGGCTGTGAACACATTTAAGACTAACAAAATGCAATTTGGTTGTTTAAAGGCCTGTTGTGGATATGCTAAACACTGAATCCTATAGCCACTGCTTACCCTCTGTCCATTCTCTGTCCCTAATTTCACTGCAATAACCCCAACTGATACAGACATGTCATTGCTGCCAAACAACACATCTTCAAATTGGGTCAAATTTCCTGGGGAGGCCTATAAAATACACGCACACAATAAAAGTTCTTTCATAACTGTGACCCAAGTTTTGGCAAAATATTACCTTCAAAAATGTATTATTACAGATAACCAACCTTTTAATTTACTTGCAGGACATGTATTTGAACCAAAAGCATTACATGCATTTTTCTCTTAGGATAGTACTCATACAGTATATAATGTGATAATTCAAGTATTTCTCCGTGGTTTTATTCTCTTTACATTAACTTATTTAGCCCAAAACAAAGGAGATATGTCCACCTTATAGGCTAAACTCCAGTCATTATTCTTGCCAGCTGCCCTATTCCTGTAAACCTCTACCCTGTACTGTCTCACCAGCAGCAGATCTCGTACTGTGGACTCAAAGTTCAGCTTACTCAGCACCACTGACTCCACCTTGTTAGCACCTGATAAGTTAAAAAAATATTAAAAATGAGTGTTAACCATTTACTTGAGTTAATCAATTTAGAAATGAAAAAATAAACACAGTGTTAAATTAATGTTTGGTATTTCATCATAGATAAGGTTAGACTAAGTGGGAGCAATAAATACTAGGGAGCAATAAATGCTACTTAGAAGTCAAACACACAATTTTTAATGGAAAATTAAGCAGGATTGTAGTAATAGGCCCCTGAGAGTCATGTCAGCATATGGAGGCCCCGTGAGATACAGACACAATACCGGTACCACCTTTAGTATGCTACATGTACACACTTGTTTTTGGCAAGTTCAAACATAGTTTAGGTTATCTACCAGTAAGGGGCCTTTCAGAATAGGTGATTCGGGTACTAACTGATCTGCTGACTAAATATGGCCGACCCCACTTCAAAAACGATGCGGATAATTCCATGATGATCTCCCCAACTCCAGGGGCCTAGCAATTAAAACACAGAGATAAGATCCATTAATCCATTTGATGGTGCGTGTGAAGGTGGGAGACCATTGTGAATTAGCAGAATCTCTTTTGAAGTGAGGTCAGCTATATTTAGTCAGCGCATCAGTTAGTAGTATTCGGATCATCTTTTCTGATTGGGGGGAGGGGGGGATATGAAAATGATTAGAAGTGTACCTGATCCTAAATGTTTAATGACTCCAGTTGTTTTAAAAACTTCTTTGGCAGCAAAAACTGCATCTGGGCCATGAACAGTATAGTAATCCTGGAAATAAATTTATAAACCATAATTAATTTTATATAATGTAGGCAGGCCATTATATAAAGTTTGTTTGAAAAAGTCTTATAGATGATATTAACAATGATATTATAACTCCACCCCCCACCCCCCACCCAAAAAAAATAATAAATAAATTTTTTAAAGACCCCCAAGGATACTGTTTTTAAAACCACAATGACAAAAAAATAAGAACTTACATTTCTGTCGAAAAAACGTATTGTTGTATTCGGTTTCTAAAAGGAAATTGAGGGTTTACATAAGATTGTGCCTTAATAAAGACATGAAATTAAATATTAATTTAAAAAATCAGTTAAATAACATGTCATGAAATAACATCTACATTCCATTTCTTCCACCTTGAAAAATCTAATCAATAGCTTTGGATCTTAATTTTTTTATATCAAGTATGTCTTTTATTCTATTATTATTCAATTTATTTCTTATAATTATTTTTATTATTTAATTTTATTTATTATTTTTATTTAAAATCATTTGTCTATTTATTTATTTATTGTACAAGTTTTACCTCTGGTAAAGAACGCAAGTATGAGAGAAACCCATGTTCCTGTATTCCGTCTGAAAATCAAAGGGCAAAAATCATTTCTGCATAAAAGAAAACAATAATATTTAGTCACGCTAACAGTAACACTGACCCAGAGATTAAGTGCAAACGATCGAATGAAAGTGCTCAAAAGACGCTCCCGGTTAAGTTAAGTTTTTGCAAAATAAAAGGTTTGATTGTCGACAATTTTGGGGACGTTTCAGTCTCAGTATAGCTCAAAGTTATGACCTATGTTTTATGATGCCAGTGCACGTGCCAAAATGGGTAAAATTCATATTTCACATACCTAATTGCAACTCGTGTTTTGATTGCACCGTCGCCATGTTGGGTCTTTTAATATTTCGCGGGAAAGGATGTCACAACCTTGACCTATTTACAATGACACAGGTAACCACAACACGCCACACAGCTGATAACTATGTGCTGAGGCAGCATATTTGCTCATGTCTCGTGATCGATATATCAGTGACGTCTGGCTTCATTGTAGGTTGACCAATAGGAGAAATGCTGACAGTCAGCAGTCTATGCCATATAAATATAGCCAACATTTCCTGTAGAGATCAGTTCTGTACACCAAACCTTCGGTATGGCGGGCTGGAGGGCAGTACTCATCTCGCATACTTCGAAATCAACCTTCAACGTGCCGATAAGAAAAAAATAACGCTTACTTCGTCTTGAGGTCGCTTTCCAGCGGCTTCAAATGGATCTTTAAACTCCGCCAGGCTTGAAGGGCGACCACCCCCACAGCGGCCGCGCTATCAAACCTTAGTCGTTTGCTTAGTGGCGGGGGTATAGCCCTGATGGCCACGGCGGAACACTTTACGGGGCGTTTTCATATGAAATTATCGTCTCTCTTGTGTTCCGGCGTGGCCAGGCTTGGATTCAACAATAAAGTGAGGGGAACTGACAGTGACACCGCTACCCGTCAAAATGTAGTTAAAATTAGGTCTGGTTGAGGAGTGAGAATTGATGTCTGTGAACAGTCAGATTATGATAAAGGTCAAGTAGTTTTCATGGTTTGGATCAAGTGTACCATCATCATTTGTTATTGCCACGTCTCCCATAATGCAGGGCAGTGAACATTTTCATCGACGGAGCTGCATTTCTAATGCTCCCCCAACCCCACCCCGCATGTTGGTTTTTACAAGATTTCAGACTTTCCAACAGTTTGGTTTACAAAAGTAAGCCTTGAGTATTGAGCAATGTTTCAGCAAAGAAAGAAAGAAGTTGGATCGTGAATCTTTTACAAAAATAAAGAAGACAAATGAAAGAGTAATTGTTTACATATACATCAATATATTCAGGAGACTAGAAGGATTGTTAGAAAAATTATGGTAATTTATTACTGAACTTGAACAGAGATAACTTTCAAGCTTTTATGACTTGGCAGAAAATTACAGAAATTTAATCAATGTGTAATGTTAGCTGTCAATTAAATTTACTACTAATATGCTCTTTCTATTGACACTTTCAAGATCTTATTGGCAGCACTTTCCTTATGCTGAACATCATCATAAAATGTCACATATGCTTATGTTCATGTCTTTCAAGCACAGTCCCACTGCTATATTTTAAGCCACAAAATGTAGTAAAAAGTAAACTAGAGTTTGTTATAATATTATAACTAGCTTTGACATTAATAATCTACCTGACTTTGTCATGTCATGCTCAAAGCATTGCACATCTAAGGTTATAAAACTTGTCTAAATACTATAACAAAATTATAAAATGATATACTAGGTAAAAGTAATCTTTGGTAAACAAATATGTAAATATTACATAAAATGGAATGCTGAGATCTCTCACACGTCATTAAAGAAGTGTATCTTGTATTGCAGTCTCTAACAATTCTAAACCCATCGATGCTTTGCACCTGTGAAAACTTTCCAAACCACTTCTTTGTTCCTATATCACTATCCTACACTGGATTTAAACATAGCACTTCAATATTAGATATTTGTGTTTACAATTGCTTTCACTTTGTAACTTCCAACTGAATTTAAATGTTTACAAAATATGCAATTACAATACTGTCCGTAGAATTTGGACTTAGTGGGTTACAAGTGGCACTAATGTTGTGGGCAAGATGGCAGCCTAAGCTGCTAAGGCCAAAAACCAATTTTTAAGTGGGACTTCATGTCAACACATCTAAGTAAGACTTCTTATTCATTATGCTACAGATATATTTATAATGAAATGGAGTTTGGTTGCAGTTGCCCATACTTCACTCGTCAAGTTTCCTTTTTGGTTTCTTGGGATTCCTAGAACGGCTCTTTGCTTTACACAACGGACATATTGGGGCATTTCTATGGATCTGCTGATGGCAAGAAAGACATGCCTGAAATTTAAAGAAAAAACAAAAAAATAAAATTAACGTAAACAAATGAAAGTCAACTAGTAAGTGTCATCAAAATTGATATATATATATATATATATATAATTTTAATGAACAAAATGGTACCACTATCATCTCAACCCCAATATAAAGTCCTTAAGTTAGTAAAAATATATGTCCAATTTTTCCAAAATAATGTCCATGTAACCCTTTAAACTACAATTATATCAACAATGTCGAACAGAATTCCTAATAAAAACACAATTGACAAAGGAGATAACTACTGTATTATTCTCCTCTGTGAATTCTTATTGCTACTGGTTTATAAAGTGTAATTCCACCAACCTTCATAGGGGGTGGCTGTTGTCTAGGGAAGGACTGTCTCTCTGCTGGTTTGGGTGGTGCGGCAGCTGCTGCGGCAGTGGCAGAGGGTCTGGCCACTGGGAGCTGCTGACCATGGACATTGGGGGCCGCTGCCACTGCTAGAGATTCTGGTAGGGTCTGTTCCTGAGATTCAGTCTGCCACTCTGTCTTCTGTTTCTCAAAGTATCTATTAAAATATCAAAAAAGGTTAGTTTGAAAAAATAATTGGCGATGAACCTGAAACTATTACAAATGTACTTTTTTCCTTTAAAAGTTGTTAATCATAAAGTTTATAATCAAATACAGCCCTCTATCATCAAAGTTTAAGAGCTCTCTAAATTTCAGTAAGTTTGCAATTAAGCTTAGTGTTAGTGAAGCAATAACTATTCTTATCTACTCATTTTCCTTCAAGAATATGACTTATGCACCAAGGCAATGAGCATTACACTGAGTCCAAGATAACCTGGCCCATGTAGATTACTTCCTAGATTGTATGCGTTTAAGTATGCGTTAATGGTTATACACTCTGGGAGATGTTAATAATTAAAATCTTATTGCACTCATGACTTACTCTGGGCTGAGTCTGTCGCCATCGTCTCCTAATTTCTCTAATCCAATAGCTGCCCTCATTGCATCTACTTCCTCTTTAAGTGGAAGGTACTCATCATACAGGTGCTTGGCATTTTCAAATGCCTTATTTCTCTCTTCTTCTGCCTGTTTTATTGTTGTTTCCATCTGGTGAGTAATAATAAGCCAATAAAGAGGCAATCAATGAGAAAACTGATTAATTACTGGATAAAGAGGGACTACATTTTTCTTATTATCATCCACTAGTAAAATGACCATCTAAAGGCTAGCCTAGGTTTACATATGATAACCCTCTTTCTTTGCAATTTTTACAAATTAAACCTAGAAAATAAATGAAAATCTCATAATATTTGGCAAACATTTTTTTAACCACATTTAAAGATAACCTGCCATTGCCATTCGAGAGGCAGGGGGGTCAATTTTAGTCCCTAATTTACAAATGTATATGGAACTATAAATAAGAATTTAAGCTAAATTTTCAGAAGTACTAAGAATGCCCCAATTCCTCACTGTGTTGATATCAGCATGGATCAGCCTCAGTTCCTCCACATGGGCCATCTTTTCCTGAAGTAACAACTCCATCTCTTGTTTGTATTCTTCCAAACATCTTTCTTCATTGTCTGTCGTCTCAATTTCTTGACGAAGTTTACTTCTTATCTTCTCTAACTGCAAAGTTTTCCCTCTGAAAGAGATGGTAAAATGTTACAATTTCTTCATAAAAAGACACCAAATTGACAATACAAGAGTGACGGTCAAATTGTTATTATTTCAAATACTTAAGGCAAGAGATGCCATGAAGAATAAATTATCCCTAACCACAACAAAATGCTAGTTTTGTATTCATGAATATCTCTATAAAGATATGATAACAAAGTACTTTTTTGCCTATTAATCACAGAGCTATCACTTTGTTAACATATTACAGACAAAGTGACTTTTCAAAGCCTTACTTATTATTATTGTTGCATTCTGTCTAGATGTATCTTCATAAGAAATTAAGGAATTTCTTGGTTGGAACATGTCATGATGTGCAGTGTAAAACTAAGGTAATTTTCTAATAAAATTCTTTCACAACTTCACACCATTGAACATAGCATGAAAATTCATGCGTTAGCACTCCTATTGACGATTCTGCTATGTACTCTATAGCACAGACAGTACAGTACATATCAGAATCATCAATAGGAGTGCTAACGCATGAATTTTCGTGCTAACCATTGAACACAGTTTCCTGGCAAATATCTAAATACAGGTGTTTGATGGGTCCAAGACCTTAAATCATTAACAACATTATTTAGACTGAAATCCCCATGTGTATAAGTAAGCTGTAAATGCATGTTCTTACTATTTCACAGCCCAACATGTGAAAGTGAGAGTAAGAGAGTTAAGTAGGGAATATCCTGCACAGTACAGGGAGCACATATATTCAAGATAGTTTTCATTTATTCCACAACTACACAGCTACAGTAATTCCAAGGCCAATACAACTGTAAATATTTCAAATTAATAAATGCAAATTGATGCAGAGAAGGCTGAATGACTTATATTATTAAATAGCCTTACAATTGCCGTGCTTGAATTCAGAAACAGAATGTAACTAGTCTTTCCTATCTCAGTGCATGCACATTGTACTTAGCAGTACTCGGATTCTAACCAACTAGGTGGCCCACGTACATGGAGACGGGCCCAAACCTAGTCTCTCTCAAATGCATACCAGTAATTTGAGTGAAATGCATTTCTTTCATGATTTTCTTAAGTTCACTGATAATGGTGCTCTCGTTCCTACCTTATGTCTTTGATGCTCTCCAACCTGTTCATCATAGCGGCTTCTTTGTCCTCCATCGTGCAGTCGTTTCAGTGATGACACTAAGAGGCGACACTTTACAAGACAAGCTCAACTTTACATCAGCACTTTCTTAAAAAATGCAAAATCGTGTTAAAGTTTTCAAAAACGAGAAAACTGTAGATGAATATATGTGGAGTTTTGGGTTATTCAACAGAATAATGTCCATTTAATAAACTTATTGATCATCGAAAAGTTAGTTGTGATTGCGTTTGCTTTGTAGCGTCACAGCCTTGTGATGATTGTGTTTTCCACCGTGAGCCACTCGGCAGACTTTCACTTCGAAAAAATGTTTTGCCACTTCTCTCCAAACATTCAAGTCAGAAAACCACATGAGTAATTGTTTGAATTGTGTGTTTTCTCTTTTTATTTGAAAGTGAAGAGTTCAAAATAATTTACAGAGGGGAAAAATAACAGTGGGGGAGGGGGGGGGGGATACAGACCTACTGTAGGCCTACTCACTTTGGCATTTCAGTGGCATTTTTTGTAGGCCTATCAATACATTAAATTTCTATTAGAAGCCGTTCCTGGTGTTGCTGTTATATCAGTGAGACTTAACACCCGATGACTTAGAATACGAAAGCTGGAGCCAGGATGGAAGCCAAAGCAGAAAACAATTTAAAATTTAAGTTTATTGACTCGGGTAGGCCTACTACTGTAGTAGGCCTATCGCCAGTAGGCATATAGGCTTCAGGCAAAAAGCATCCACAACCCTTAGACTTTGGATAAACGGAATAAAAAGAGTTCTTTTTGGGGGGTTGCTTGTTGAGAAAATCGAACAAAGTTAGAAAATTGCATTTGCTTTGAAAAGTGAAGTTTTGATGAAAAACAAGCAAAGACCCTTTCTATTAATATTTTGTTATTCTCGTGTCATTTTCAATGTTTTTGGCCTATAACTTGTTGAACATCATGTACCACTACAAAGGCCGCATCAGTGCCACGTAGCCCTAACCCTGTGCGTGAGAACTGTAAATCGTTACAAGAGGACTTGTTGTATTTTACATTTATTCATAATTACAGAATTTCAGAAGTGACCCAAAATAACTTAACTGACAGTCACACGCGAGTCTAAAATCTATTCCAAAGCAGGGCAAACACAAATTCCAGGATAACGCCTGTTCGAACCAATTGAGGTTGGTTTGGAGAACGTGAAGATATAAAGATCTTCAAGCTCATTTTTTGAAATGAATGAATGAATCGTGATAAATATTTCTATTTCACTCTTGCGCAATGATCTCATTCATTAAAATAGAACTTAACAGGCATGCCCGCGTTTTTTACCCCACAGCTTTTACGAGAAGCGTGTGAATTCAAACGCAAACATTGGCGTGCCCCAGACTCGTGATTCTTTACCCGACTGTCGCGTGACGCACATGAGGGTTAAACTTTGCATTACATGTTGACGTGTCAATAGACCGTTTAAATTCAAATCAACTCGAGGTGATCTTAGGCTCAGGTTAAAAAGTAAACATTGTTCAAGCTACCCCGATTAAATATCCGTTCATGTGTTTTCTCTAGTTTAAACAAACCGTTTCCATCAAAAAGCAGGGGAACATTTTGGCGAGACATATCAGTTCGTCTAGTATACTCATTCATCTTCTAATATTTTTGTGTGAGGATAAAATCAAACATCCACAAAGTAAACCATCTGCATCATAAAAACCACAAGTTTTCTGTAAAATATTCCTTTTTATTTCATCATTTTATGGAGATATTTATTCAATATTTGGTCAACATTGTGTCTTCCTAATCTATCATGTTTCTATTTTTTTTTAACGATGGCTACTGAATGTTGTATCAGTAGAAATTAGTTATGAAGAAAGGCATGCGGGAGTCTTCTGATGGAGAAGGATGACAATAAGCCCTGCTGCTTTTCACCTTCTATGTGAGTGCTTACTTTCATTTTGTCTTTTTATGCAGTGTTCACGTTGTGTCTCTGCAGTAGTACTGGAAGGGAATATGTAAAATAGCAGTTCAAAAGCAGCTCTTTATTAATGAGCTTTACTCTCATAAAATCGTCTTATTTTCGACACATGACTTTGATATGTGTTATCATTCTGTCTGTGACAGGAAACATTAGAGATTACAATGGTATTAGAAAAAAACAATCATGTTAATAATGACAAGGTCACCTGGTTCGATCTCAAGAAATAAGTAAACGGAGCTCAAATGCGTTACCTGAGATCCATGCAAAATCACATGTACCTCCTTCCAAAGGGACCAAACTATTTGATTTTATAAACCAGGGTTTCAATGGCTATTTTCAATTGGAATTACGCGACCCATTGTAAAATATGCGCGAAGGGTTCTATTTATGTATTTGACTTTGCCTGAAGTCAGTCTTTACCCAGCAATTCAAGATCCAGTCCGATGAAACCTTAGAGCAGAGACACCATACCTTTTATTTACCTGTTATTGCAAGCGTCTTGAACTACACTGGTATATTTCTTCCTTTTAGTTGTCAACAGCGAAACAAAAACATGTTTTACAGCGCACTGGCAAGTGAAATATATTGTGATACATTTCACTGCTGAATGAGAAGTGCCCTAATCGGAAATTGCCCATCTCTAACTAAATATTAGCAACATTAACCTGAAAGACGTAACAAAAAGGAAGGATTTGTGGTCCCTATGCAAGCATAACATTCTTGACAAAATATTTATCGGTTACACAGAGGGAATGCTCAGTTATGACATTAAATTAGACAAAACAGGTTAGGCTACTGAATACGAAGCTTTAGTCAAACCCAATCTGGGCTCTATTACACAAAAGAATTTAAACCCTGAAATAGCGCTAAGCTTTTAGACTAAAATTCAAGTCTGCTATGACTCAAGAGAAGTCAGTAGCATTCTAACTAAATTAAATATTGCGCATGTTTTAACAAAAAATATATATAAGTAAAGTTTCATACCAATACTTACTTAAAGTTGAGCACTGTTGCTTTTCAATGGAAAAGGTCAATTTTTTGCCTGAAAGATAAAACAAATTTTCGGACCAAAGTTCCTTTGTAAAACTGACTCCACCACTCAATACATGTGTGACCTGTTACTATACAGTATGTTCACTTTTTTCTTACAGTAATCATCAAAGACAATGAAGTCAACGGTATTAAATATTTCATGGTGAATTCTTAAATTAGTTCTCTGGTGATGTCACGTTATTTCAGGTTATGCAACGAATATATTTGTCAAAATTAACGTGTCGGTTTGCCTTAAATTAATGTGCTGTGAATTATTTTGTAAATAAAAATAACCAGATTAAAATAACACAAAGAGTTACTGCTTTTCCTCTGCTCTGATTCGTTTAAAATGATTCAGCCTTACCTCCTAAGTTTTCTCTAGTCTTTCTTCCATATACATGTACCCTATCATCCCTGCATGAAATAGCGTTATTTTTTAAATCTAACTTTCCAAGAAAAAGGTCAGTCTGATGAGATCTAGGAAAGACATATTTGCGTTCGGCATTCTATTCTATGCATAAGTTTCTTTTTTCAAAAAGTGCTAGGAGTTCAATCAATATCGAGAATAATCAAAGACGCAAGGTTGTACGTTGAATGAATGAATTCAATCAAGGGATAACTTATGATAGTGTCTGCCATCGCCACCAGACCATCATGGTCACCCCACCCCCTCGTGCCACGATATGCACAGGAGGTAATTACCCTGTATCTGGGCCATACAGGGAAATTTGACTAGATATTCATTTACATTCCTCTAACTATTCTGTGCGCATCATTGTACTGTAAGAATCTTTTTGGAAAAAAGTCATCACCAAACCGGAATCTGGTAGCCTCTGGCAGGGAGAAGTCTAAGGCAATAAACTTTGCATGAAATATTGTCAGCACAGTCCCACACAAAACCCAATCTAATGTCTATCAAATCATCTAAGACAAATGCTGCATAAAGTCCCCAGACCCAAGTCGCTCAAACATAAACAGTTTCCTTCCCTTCATTTAGAGAACTTGTTTGGTATTCGTTTCAAGTGATGCAACTTCAATCCTCTTGTCAACAAACCGCCGGGGCAGGGCGGACCGCAGAGTCGCCCTTGAACAATTGGTTTTGTTTTAGTTTGACTTAGTGAGTGTCCTTCAAGTAGTTACAAGACAATGATTGTGGTGTGAGATCTGCCTCATTGACGTTCCACGAAGCACTCTTAACTTACCAGTTAAGTTAGCTTTTCCATGACTGTGAATCGTTTCACTTATCACGGTTTTATAAGAGCCTCACCAAGTTTATGGCATTTGTTTTGGTAAGATGCGTGTGGAAATACGCAAGTAAAACCCTCAATTGAACATAAGAGTATTTTCACGCTTATTCCTCCAAATTATACAGGCGTTGCGATAAACAATATGTCACGAATTGACTGCTACCGTTTCTAAAATCGAAAAAACAACTACTATCATATAATTACTGCTTAAAGCTAGGTAACAGGCATTTCATTTCACGCCTAATGTTTAGTTAATCTTGGTCATACCTTACGTTTATTTTTTGTCCTATCTTAACAGAATGTGTTTAAGCGGAGTAGCTGTGTAAAATAAATAACGCTTCTTTCATGTCTGATGCAACAAAGAGCACAAAGGTTAGCTGAGTAGCCATTCACCGACAAAAAGCAATAGAGTTTTAGACCAATCATGCTAATACTGGCTAAATTTTTTTATCTGATTAGAGCATTAATGCGCATTGCAAACAGTAAATGGCACGAGAGCTTTTAATATATATATATAAATGAAAAAGCACCACAGATTACATAAAAGTTATGTAAAATATGTTAACTTCCAAACATGAAAAAGAACCATAACTTGCATGGATACGACATTAATTTCCAAACAGACTTCAGATATTACAGTTACATTTTACACGATCCCATGGTTAAGAACACGGTATTGTATAAGTAAGAGTCCTGATATCCACCACAATTTGGTTTGACATCACAGAGTGGTGTTCTTGTTTATGGCAATGAAGATGAAGATGAGGTCTTTGAAGACAGCCTACCACAACTATTAATTTTCTATTTAATGCACTCAAATTTCTGAAACTGGCGATGTGCC